GGATGCGGAAACACCCACGCGCCTTGCATACTGGCATGGAGGGTCCTGCAGGGCAGTGCCCGCTGGGAGCTCCCCCGCGGAGGCGCTCTGGGCTACCCAGGAAGGGTTTGTTCCAGGTCCAGGCTTCCTATCCCGCTTCATTCGGGGGCCAGAGCCTTTTGAGTGGAGACTCTGGTTCTGGGATCCATAGCCCCACGGAGCAGAAGACGGGGAGGGTGGCGAAGAAAGGCCCTCGGGACACTTTGTCCCAGAAAGTCCTAAGAATAGCATCTCAGCAGGTGCCAAAACAAGGGGTGGGGACTCTGCTGGGAAACACCCCCTTCCCGCCTTTCCCTCCAGAGGTTCGATTCTTGGGCCACGCAGCAGGGGAAGGAGGCGGCGGGGAGCAGGTGGACTGCCCGCTGGTTCTCGAGCTGTGACAGGAGGGCCTCGTGGACTGGGAGCCGTCGGAAGCTGCTTCGCTCCCTCCGCGCGAGAAAGGCCAGGCCTCTGGGTTTCCCCCTCGCCCTTTCTCCTGTGTGATGACCCCAGACTGTTTACAGTGATCCCTAACCGCGGGTTAAGTAGAGGAGAAGGGGCCCCTCTCAGAGAGGGAGCTGAGGTGGGGGTGGGGGATGCAGCCACTGGAAAGCCTGTTTATTGACGAGGAGGGAAAGCATGCGTGCAGCAGGATAATGAGCTTCTGAGCTCAACTGTGACCAAGAGGAACTGAGCTATCTCCTTCCCCATCGCTAATGAAACAAGTGTAATTTCCTCATCAGCACTAGATTCTGTTTAACGACTCCCCCCTTGCCACCATGAGCTCTCCGCGGCTCCCCTCACCCCCACCTCCTTGCAGACTCCCCCCTCCCTCACCTCCACCTCTCTAAGACCTTCTTCGCTTCCACCTGCTCACTGCTGGGACCTTCCTGGAAGAACCTTCTTGCCCCCAGTACTTCTACTCCCTGTACCCCACATTTGGGTAGGACTCCCCTCACCCTCACCTCTCCTTACCCAGTTCCTCTAACTCCCTCCAGCCCCTCTGCTACCACACCCTTCAGCAATGCCCTCCTTGCCGTGCTCTCCTCCCCAACTCTGTTCACCCAGGGCTGTCCCTGGTTGGACAGTCCAGGAACCCGGCCAGCCACCCTCTTCTACACCCTCCCTCCCCTGCCATGAGAGTTGAGCTTCAGGGAAGGGGCACACAAGAAGGCAGCCAGCAGGAGTGGGTGCAGGCCCAGTGAGGCTCACCCTCTTTAAGACAATTTTTTTTTTCTGGTTTGTGTGAATAGGAGCTTCAACTCTCTTTGGCTTCACATCTGGCTCCCAGTCTGGGGTGAGGGGTTGGGAAGGGTACAAGGTCCAGTTGCTATTGCCAGAGCCTAAATGCAGCCTCTGTCTCTCTGATCCACAGAGCCCATCCCAGCTCCTCTCAGACAGGGGATGGAGCAAGGAAAGCCTGGTTCTGCTGAGGAGATGTGGGAGTGCTCTATCTCATGTCTCTGAGGTCAGCCTCTCTGGTTTCTGCCATAGCCTGTCCTCTGTTCCTCTTCCTCAGGGACTAGCTCCCTCCTATCTCTGGGGTGAGGTGGGTTCTCAATACTGGTCTTCCCTGTGGGTTGGTGTGGACCAGGCTTTGTCTGAGTGACTGACATGCCCCTGGAAATGGTCTTTGCTCCAAGTTTCCATGGAAACCAGGGCAAGTACTTCCAAGCAGTGTCAGCTGGCTGGGGGTGGGCTGGGGCACTGAGAGTGGAGCTGAGGCTGACTACTCCCTGGGCACAAGCTTGGGTGGGTTGACTCTGTAGAGGAGCCATGACATACAGTGGGGTGCACAAAGGGGCACTTCTGCAAGCTCCCTCTCTAGATTGATTATGAGGGAGGATGGGGAACCTATTGTAGCCTCCAGGGAGAGGGATAGAATAGTAATAGTTTGGGGGGAAGGGATGTTGGGTCTTCTCGCACCCCCAGCCTCAGCCTATAGATCACTCAGCAGCTCACCCACAATTTAGTTACCCCTCCTAAATTAGGCAGCTGCAACATTGTCACCTACCAGGCACCATTCCTGCCAGGGTGGAGGTGGGGTAGCTTCCCTGGCCAGTGGGGGGCACGTGAGGGGGGTAACCAGGCAGAGTGGTGCTCGCCATGTCACGACCTAGAAAAACACAAAGGGGAAGGGGTGAGGCCTAGAAGAGAGGGAGCTGTCTCTACTCACAGCAAGGTACTCCACGGAAAGAGAACTCTTAGAGAGGCAAGAGCTGTGTGCAGACACATGGGGGAGGGTGGTGCAGGTGATGAGTAGGTCCAGGTGTGCCTTTACAAGTGCCTAAGTTTGTTACCTAAATATCTGTCCTATGATCAGCTATGCGTATGCACCTCTGCTCTGCTAGCTCTCTGTGCATGTATGTGCGTATTTGCCTTTGCTTGTGTCTTTTTGTAGCCCAAACCCAGAGAGGGTAACCTGGTTTTATTCCTCCTTCCTGGCAAGATATTCGGCTGTGGTCTCTCCAGTAGCCAAATGGACCTCTATTATCTTGCTCACTTCTCCCCTCCCTAATATTCCATCTTTCCCTTCAGGCTTGAAGACACCCCACCATCCATCCACACAGGCTAACGGGTCTTCCTTGTTCTCTCCAAGTGGGCTGCAGGTGCTGGACCTGGCAGGTGTGGAGAGCAGGGGGCCAGCCAGTGGGTTATTTTGCTGTTAGTGTTTATGGCACTTAAATGGAAAACCATCCCTGAAGCAGATCAGGAGCTTTTGAGCCAATGGTGCAAGTGGATCAGATCAAGTTCCAACAAGGAAAATTGGCTCCCCCCACTAACTGCTGGACTTCTATCCTGGGAGGCCTCTATTAGCTACAGCCTGGAGGGTGGGAGACATGGCTTTCCTAGTTTCCTGGAAGGGAAAGTGAGTCCATATTAGGCAAATACCCATGACCTATAGACATCTCCTTTGGAACACAGCTGCACCTGAGTGGCCTCCCTTCCCTGCCTGTCCCCTCCATCACCATGAAGGGGTCACCACCTCCCTTTGCATTTTAGCATGCTCCAGTATCTAATGACAATAATTTACCCTCATTCCTCTCCCACATTTCCATGCCCTAGAGACTACTTTCTGCTCTCCTGGGTCCCATTCATCCTCTCCAGATTCCTCTTATCCTTCTCTTCAGCCAGTGCCACTCTCCCCCTCCAGCGCCTCTGTCCAAACCTGGGAAGGCAAGGTGTGGCTGGAGGAAGCCATAGAACTATGCATATCTGGCCAAGTTCAGTTTCTTTTTCTCAATGACACTAATCCTCATCCTCCTGGTGGCTATTCCAAAGCACCTCTCTCTCTCTCTCTCTGTCCTTGCTACTCTCCCCTTGAAATTGACCACACCCCCTCCTTTTCTGAGACATGTGTTTTCTCACCCCCACCTTAAGACATCTGAGTGATTCTTCCTTCCTTCCCTCAGTATACAGAGATACAACTCCGATTTCTGTATTTCCAGTTGCCTGCTGAACATTTTCATTAGCTGTCCCACTGTCACCTCAAACCTGACAGGAAGAAAAGCTGATTCATCTTCCCCACAATCAGTTCTACTGATGACCCACTTGAAAACCATCAGACCAAAAATATTGCAGTCCTTCCTGACATCGTCTTTTTCCTCCCCCTCTGTATGAAGTCAGTCACCAAGTGTGGTCAGTTCCTCTTAGCAATGTCTGTCACATCTGTCCCTTCTCATTTCCTCTACCACATCCATAACTCAGCTCCTAAGACCTGCCCTTGGTTTGTCACAACGGTTTTCTTGCTTGTATTCTGTGCCTCCACATTATTCCCCCTCTGGTGTCTCCCAAATGTGGCTGCTTGGCTAGTCCTCATGAAACATTGCTCTCATCACATCACTTTCCTTGTAAAAACCATCGTTGATTCTCTGTAGGCTACAGTTTGAATCTGAACTCTGCCAGGTTTTCACGACCTCCCAGGTACTCTTCCCCACCCAGCTTTCTCAGCTCAGACTTGCACCCCTCCTGGTTTAGTTTGACCATTTTCACTGGCTTGTACGCTGTGAAACCTCTGTGCTTTTGCCATATAGTTTTCATCTTCTTACTCCTAGTTTCCCTCTCCTTCCAGCTCAAGTCTTAAAACCCCTACTGTTCTATATACTTAGCAGGGACGTTTCTCTCTTCTAAACTTCTATAGTGTCTCTGCTCCGTTGCTGATCATGTCATTATATTTCATAATGGGCCAGTTCTGTTGTTTCATATCATGGTGTGCTTCCTCAAACAGATCACAGTCAGACTGAGGGCAGGACCCGGTCTTCTGTGTGATCTTGCACAGTTGAGAATATGGTAGATGCTACATAAATACTTGTTACTTAATTTTCTATCACTATTGTTTTTATAACCAACTCCAGGTGGGTTATATTGTTTTTTAATTGTTTCCTATGTGTTGGTCTCCTTTGAAGAGGAGCAAAATGTGAATGTTTGAACCTGCTTTTTCTCTAAAAAAAAACTTTTTTTTTTTTTTTTAGCTGAGCCATCCTGCTACCTATTGGCAGCTTAGCGGCTGCTCAGCTCGGGCTGGCCTCGAACCGCTGTTGCTCAGAGCTCAAACTCTTGAGTGAGCTCTTAACCAACTGAGCCATTCGCCCGGCCCTCTAAAAATAGTTTGAACAATGGATTATGGATTTTTATAGGTTGATGAAAGATTTACAGTGAGGGACTCATCTAGTGTGACTTAGCTTTATTGTGCAATAGAATGATTTTCCTCTATATTTATCTAATATAGCTAATATCTTACATTTTAAAACTCAAGAATAAATAATACAATAGACCTGTCAAACAAGAGATCATAGAGAGACAGAAGAAAGAATCTGTGTTAGCTTTGTTGTGGGTTTTCTGTCATTGACTCCTATTGTCAATAAAAGGTATACTCCTTCTGACCAGCTCTCAGAGGAGTGGACATGAAGTGGATGATGACAGCAATAGCTATCAATTCCTAGAGAGATTAATACGGCACTTATTGGTAAACAAACAAACAAACAAACAAAAACCATGACAGGAGAGGCAGGGAGGATGTAGAAGTTTTGAAATTACTATAGAAAGATATAGAAACCCTATTCCTCTTGGTCCTGCGATCTTAGTATCTACAAAGCAGCCAGGAAAACAAGTATGCTTCTTCCTTAATAAACAGGAATTTAAGTGCATCTGAATTATGATTTTCAGCTGCATGGTTTCCACAACCTGTCACACATGAATTCCTTATAATCTAAGGTTTTGTCACACAATCTTCTACCTAGCTTCAGGGGATAGGAAGAAAGGCTGGGTGACCGGAAAGGTGTTTCCAGCTAACCTGGAGGTACCCCTACTGCAATGTTTATTTTCACTGGCTTTTTCTCTTGCAAAATGGTAAGTCCAACTTACAGAAAATTTGCATGCTGCAAGTCACCCACAGAACTGTTGATTGAAAGACACATTTCCGAATTCTATGGATTTTTTTTATGAAGGTAACATTGGTTTATAACATTATATAAGTTTCAGGTGTACAACATTATAATTTGATATCTGTTATTTATCCAAAGACTATATGAAAACACTAATTCAAAAGGATATATGAACCTCTATGTTCATTGCAGTATTATTTAAAATAGCCAAGGTGTGGAAACAACCTAAGTGTTCATCAATTGATAAATGGATCAAGATGTGTTATATATATTTAATGGAATACTACTCAGCCATAAAAAGATGAAATGCTGCCATTTGCGACAATGTGGATGGATCTTGAGGGTATTACGCTAAGTGAAATAAATCAGACAGAGAAAGACAAACTGTATGATTTCACTCAAATGTGGAATATTTTTTAAAAAAGAAAAGAAACAAATGAACAGAACAAAACAAAAACAAACTCATAGATACAGACAACATATTGGTGGTTGCCAGACATTTTTAAAATGTGAGAGAAGAGACCCATGGTGAGGAAAAAGTGTGCAAGCTTCCAAATATTCAGTATACTCATATGGCTGTGTTTCTGCTGCTGCAGATTCTGGATCATGAGTATCGTCACAAAGAGGTGCCCGTTCAGGACCCTTAAGCCAACAAAGGTGCAAGCCACTGCATACAAAGCACTCTCAATGGCTTCATTAGTACACAGGTGACACCTGATGAGCAGGAAAAAAATTGACCAAACTCTTGCCAGAGCCATATATTCTTCCAGAACACCATTGTCAATAATGGAAAACACATACTGCAGGAAGTTTTCAAATTACTAAGAACGTCATACTGTTTGCCCAGCAGCATTCTTTGAGCAAGCCTCTTTTAGTGAGAGAATATGAATGGATAATGGAATCTGTGCAAGGAAGAATCAACAGAGCACTGGGCCTTGCGTTACTATAGATGGATGGACACATAGGAGCCGAGACGAGCTCTAAAACTGTAAGACAGCACAGCCACGTCCTCAAAAAAGCAAAAGTGCAGAAAGAGAAGAAAACAGCTACACAGCAGAATACATCAGTTATAAAATATGTGCCACCCAACACGAGACAGGAAGCAGTAAAGTATTTGCTTTGCTCACTGACAATGCCACTAACATGAAAACAGCATCGAGAATCACAAATGGATAAAACTCCACATATTACAAGACGATGGGCATTCCATGTCGGAAACTTGCTTCCTAAGATTACAAAGTTTTCAAAAGTGGAAGAGCCTTCGAGATGATCAGCCCAACTAGCTTCTTTTAAAGTTGAGAAAATGGAGGCACAGAGAGCCATCATGACCTTCCTATGGCTACAGAGCTAGTAAATGACAGAGCCAAAGTTGGAAGCTATGTCTGTACCACACTGCCTTTTAATGATAACACGAAGCCAGGTACTCGCCAAACGAGCCAAGGAAAAGGAAAAGAAATCATCCGGCAAGCAAAATCTCATATTGTCACTGCCATCATTAAGACGAGGCAAGAAAAACAGGACACAAAGAATAAAATTCCAACACCAAAAGTCTGTAGTAAAACTCCATGGGGTGGAGTATTAATCTCCTCTGAGAGTTTTCTCAAAAAACAAAGAGGCTCTTCAAGACACAGTAGTAGCTGAGAATCTTAAAGTACCCAGAAGTGTTAGAAGCACTGTACTTGATGAGGATATCTTCTCAGTTCAACTGCAGAAGTCCCTGAAGATTCTAAAG